TTACTTGGAAAAAGTCTATTTTAGTTACTTGCCTGTTTTTTAATTGGGTTGTGTTTTGTATTTAAGTTGTGAGAGTTATTTATACATTTTGGATAATAAATCCTTATCAGAAACAATCATATATTTCAAATATATTACCTCACATGTAAAGTCAAACTATGTTATGATGAAAGGCCTTAAAATTAGGAAACTTATTAAAATTTGGGCTTGTGTTTATGAAAAATAAGTGGGTGGAGTTAGACTTATGAAATAGGTCTCATCCATCCTAAACATCCAATGAAGTCTTCCTAAACAAGAATTTTATCCAGGAAACTAATTTTTATTATATCCACGTTGGTTACTCCAATATAAGTATTTTTTTTCTTGTTGATTCAGAATTTCTAATTATTTCCTGTTTAATCTTTGTTTTCTTGCTTCTGTACAAGTAAAAGAGCTTCTTATTTTCTCTGAGAACAGATGAGAAAGGAGTAAAAAGATTTTCATGCTTATGGCAATCTCACCAAACAAAAAACTCCTCCAACCCCACCACAATAAAGAAAGGAGAGCAAATATCTGTTCTTACTTACTTTTCAAATAAGTTTTGTTATAATAATATTAATAATAAGAACAATGGTTTTATATGACACTTAAATTAGAATTATATATTGTGCACAAGCTGTCCCTAAAAGCAAGCTTGGGAAAATCTTTAGCAAATAAAACTATATTGTACTATGAAAAATAAACAACAATAAAAGTCATTTTAAAAGACACCACTTTTGTGACTACTCAAAAGACTGAAATATACCATAATTTTTATAAACATATAATTTCTATATTTGTTGATTTCTGTAATTTCCATTCCAAATATAACTATTCTACAATTTTTGTTTCAAAGGGATAAAAGAAAGAGAATACACACCTCACAGTCAGCAGTGTGATATGTCATTTCGGTGTTGTTCAGTTCAAGAGAAAGCTGGAAAACTGGATTCATCCCAGGACTTGCAGTCCAGAGCATCTTTTTTTCTCTTCTTTTTTTTTTTTTTTTTTTTTTTTTTTTCTTTTAATTTAAAGAATGGCAGACTGCCACATACAGCACCTCATTTGGATGTGTCTGGAATCCTGGAAGCTTGACTATCTTATGTTCCACTACAAATGGACCTTGAGAGGCTGTTGGGAAGTTCTAGTGGGGGAGTGCAGCTAATCCCATACCCTTGACCAAAGAACAATCCTCCTCTATCAGGAAAGATGGTCCTCTTCAACCGAGCCTGCAATTTCAGGAAGGATGTACAGGGAGTGGTGAGGGAGGAAGGGGACACCAGCCTAGCCAGTCACATCAGCCAAATTGACCCATGGGGTGACAGATGTTGCCAGATTGCCCTCACATCCTTTTTTTTTTTTTTAAGGTTTTGTATGTCTTGATTTCTAACCAGACAGCAACAACAGTGTGGTTTTGTCTTGAATATTTTAAAAGCAATAACCCAATTGTAGAAAGGAACTTCTAATGATGATGCTTCTATAGTATTCCATGAAGTTTAATACTAAAATATACTATTTGAATTTTAGTGGCAATTAAAATTGTTTTTTTTAATTATTTTATATAGAGAGAGCACATGAGTGGGGAGAGGGGTAGAGGGAGAGAATCTTAAGCAGACTCCATGCTCAGTGTGGACCCTGACGTGGGCTCCATATCATGACCCTGGGATCATGTCCTGAACCCTGGGATCATGACCTGAGCTGAAATCAAGAGTCCAATGCTCAAAAGACTGAGCCACCCAGGCACCCCTCAGAATTCTTATCCATAGAAGTCATGTCTATTAACATGGGAATTAACTTTATTTACCATTATTATTTGAAGTAATGGAGTGTTAATAATTAGAAATAAACATCTGGATGCCTGGGTGGCTCAGTCAGTTAAGTGTTCAACTTCGGCTCAAGTCATGATCTCAAGGTTCCTGAGTTTGAGCACTGCATTGGGCTCTGTGCTGACAGCGTGGAGCCTGGAACCTGCTTTGGATTCTGTCTCTCCTGCTCTCTCTGCCCCTCCCCCGCTCACACTCTCTTACTCTCTGTCAAAAATAAATAAGCATCTTTCAATCCCTGTTGATTATTTTGAAATGATTTTTCAAATGCTGATATTTTTAAAACTGTACCATTAAATGTTCTGACTATTAATCCTCCCCAAAGCTATTTTGATTACACTGTTTTAATGATATACAAGTAAAGGTCCTGGATTTATTCTAGCACTGGTTCAATTTTCAATTAGTTACTTGCACTAATTAGATATGACACGATTTATTTCTGTGGCTTGTACTTTCACCTGTTTCCCTTCCTTTCATTCTTAACTCTATTTGCAATCTAGCAGAAAAAGCTCACCTGTTTTATCTATTCCTTTTGTTTAAATTTCATTGATTAAGAAATAGGATGTAAATTCACTGTAGCTAGCACCTCTATATTTCTAGCAAGAAATTCTGCCATTAGTTTTAAAAGATAAAGATAAAACTCACTTCCAAATGAAATCTGTTATCCATTTCAGAGAGCTTCCTTATTAATCAACGTCTAGACTCTTTATCTATTAAGCTTCTGTTTTATCCTCAAGACCTGTGTCATTTAGTTGTTAGAGGAGAATGTGAAATTTTCTATATGGATTGGTCTGAAAGGTTTATTACTGGTATTAGAGACTTAATTACCCCCTCAACATTCCTTCACTCCACCTGACTTACATAAGGATCAGCAAAAGGGGGAGGGGAGCATATTCACTTTTTCTCAGTATTACCTACTTGTAGGTTATCTTGCTATGCTTCAGAAGCCCTTATTATATTCACCTGATGAGAAACTAGCACAATTATGACAAAAATAGTCAATTATTTCTGTGTGTATAAGGAAAACAAAGCTTCCTTGTTTAAATGGTTCATTGTGATGGGGCTATGATCCTTTAGGAAGTCATATATATCTCAGTTGCCCAGCAAGCCTAATGGAAACATTCAGCTGGAGACTAAGCATTTGCACAGCACAATCTAATCTTTGTGTCTTTATTTGAATCCCTCATCCAGGCAAGTATTCCCAGAAGCTACCCTGCAGATTCAGCCAGTGATTCTCAACCAGGTCACCCACCTGTATACAAACATAGCCACTTTTGCAATGGCTCAACTGCACTGCGTCTCTGTATTAGTAATTAAAACAAAAATGCTTCCTTTAAAACTGCTTCTATAACTGAGGACTAAAGCAGGCTATAGTGGCCTACTTGCAACTTCTTTAGTCCATCTATTCTTCTATAAAGCATAATAAACTTACTGTAATTAAGTATAACTATCCCAAAGGTCTCTTCTGAGGATAATTTTAAAATTAATTAATTAATTAATGAGAGAGAGAGAGAGACAGCATGTGAGCAGGGAAGGAGCAGAGAGAGAGAGCAAGAGACACAGAATGATAAGCAGGCTACAGCCTCTGAGCTGTCAGCACACAGCCCGATGTGGGGCTCGAACTCACGAACTGTGAGATCACGACCTGAGCCTGTGAGATCATGACCTGAGCCGAAGTGGGATGCTCAACCCACTGAGTCCCCCAGGCACCCCTCTTCTGAGGATAACTTTTAAAGATTTTCTTTCTTTAGCAGGATGGGATTTTCTTCCAGTCTTTCTTTTTCTACTTCCTTCCTGAGGAAGGATATTTAGTATTCTATCTTCTGTAGTAGTGGTCAATACCAAGTTTGGAGGAACAAAGCAAAATGTCAGAGGTTGTGTAATCATAACGACAGTGGGTATTATGCCAAGAAGAATCAACACTGTCAGAATTAGCAGAAAAGTATGTTAGCCTACAGACTTTAATTTTCTCACTCTGAAGTTGCATCATGAGACAGCGTCTCTTTAATCCCATCTTGCTTTTCTTCCTTTTAAAGACTACAAGATCTATAAACAGGAAAACCTGCATCTTCACTTCCACCTCGCACCTATATGACCAGATCCATGTAGCTGAGAATATGATATAGACAACTGCCTGAAAGCTAGAATAAGAGGCTAAACAGAAGATGAGTCAGAATCATGAGTGGAAAACAAAAACAAAAACAAAAACAGTTGCAATGAGGGTGTATCTAAAGGGAGGAGTTAGAGATGAAAGACGTTTAGAAAACTTGTATTTTTATGATCTCATTGGTTTTGTAAAGCAGGTGCATCTGTGATTTCTCAAAGAATAATCAAGTGCAAATTCACATGGTAATTTACAATCTTCAGCACCTTAGTTGTGATCTCATGAAAACCTTGATAAGTCATCTCATTAAATTCATATTTTAAACTTGCAATTGTGTTTAGTGCAATTATTGTGGAAATCACTCTAGGTAAGTTTTTACTACAGGTCTTAGAATTCTGGATGTTTTATCTTATTTACATCAAGAAACATGGAAACATCAAGAGTACTTACTGTCTCAAAAAGATTTGCTACTTTTTGGGGCCCTTGGATTTGAAATGGACCTTCATTAATGACTGTGCTACCTGAGCAACATCAGAAACTTCTCTACCTGTGTCAACATCTACTAGGTCCCCCTTGCCTTCAGATGGTGGAGAATGATGCCTTAGACCCAGACCGGGAGTTGCCACCCTGTCCCAGCATGAACTGCCTGCTATTACCATGCACCAGAGTTCTGATTCCTTGATCTGTTTGTAGGGCTAGATAGTGAAGACACAATACTTCTTCCTTATCCTGTTCACCCCATCCCTCACCTCCATTTGTCTTCCCTGTTCTTTTCTTTTGGGGGAGGGGCGGCACCACAGGTGAAGCCCTTTGTCCCCCACTGGGCGTGGTCCAGGTGGTGGGTGGAGTGTGCGGTTTCCAAGGAAGGAAAATGTAGCAGTTGGAGCTCTTAAGGTAGGACACGCAGTGTTTAGAGAGAGTAGGAGAAACCAGATGGAGGGGCAGGAAAAGATAGGGTTGGAGGCGCGTTGCGTCAGGGGCGGCTCAGAAAATAGGAATCAGGAACAAGTTACTGCTAGTTCTTCCACTCGCGGCTCTTCCCAGAGGAAGTGGATCTCGCGGGATCTCACGAGTTCCAGGGGAATGCCAGGGGAATCCTGGGAGGAGAATCTGCCGGGAAACGTGGGTCCCCGAGGCTCCTTCTCTCTGTGTTTTCCATAAAAACGTCTGGCGCACCCCACCTAAGAAGCAAGCCCCAGTTCTGGTGGAGGCCTTGCTACCCTACTCCCACTCGAGTCACAGTTCAGCGGTTCCTCTTCCAAGGGGCGCAGCGAGGTAAGGTCCGGAGGAAAGGGCTCTGGTCCAAAGGCAGTGCAGGGGTGGTTAAGAAATAAAAGCTATTTAAACCCAGCAATTAGCATATCAATAAATATTTGTGGATTAAATGGGTTAATCAATGAATGTGGCTTTGGCACGACTCCAGTGAAATTTTCTCAGATTAATTCATGATGCAGATATATTTCACGCATATCAAAACAAATACACCGTTTTTAGAAATAATTAATATAGGATTTTAACACAAAAATTTTGGAGGAATAGTGAGAGAACTAATAGTTACTCTAATTTATTTTAAAACATAAATTTAAATATATTGATGTGACTTATTGTATCTTTTATTTTGTTTTTGAAAAAAAAAAAGATTGCTGTCATTCCAGTGTTAGCCCTCAAATGTGAAAAATGCTAACTTCTGCTCAATATTTATCCCCTCTCAAGTGTATGTCTGTTGCATAGAAAAATACTTAATTGAAATAAGAGTCTTTCTAAAACAGGGAAATTTTTAAATGGGGTCTTGTAAAATTTTATATTTCGAACAGATTTGCCTCGTGGTGAGAACCTGCTGTGTATCCTGTTTACAAGGTGCTTGGGGAACTTCTACTCATGGTTAGTAGTGATGTAAGTTCAATGCACATGAATACGAACATTAATATTGAATTTTTTAAAGGTAAAACACAGTGCAAACCAAGAATTATATTGGTCTTATTTTTCTATTTATACATGATTATTTAAGGCGTCATTTGTTTATCTTTCTCCAACTAAGTTACTCTAAAGTGGCAGCTAATTAATCAAAGGATATAATAACATTTGATGAAGTGATGAAGTAAGACCTATGAAGAATATGAGAATCAAGCTAGTCCTTGAAGAGGAGGTTTCATTGTAAATTATTTTGATTTTCAGGCAGAGAACATCAGTGTATGCCACTGTGCAGTTTTGTTTTAAAATCAGCTTTTTTTTTCCTGTATTTTTATTTCATTCATTCATTTGCAGATTCATCATTCAATAAGCATTCATAGGGTACATACTGTGTTCTAGGAACCATGCTAAACCTTTGGGATACAAAATAAAATAATGCACAGTTATCTATAGTTGTCTCCAAACAATTCCATTGTGGTCATGACATGTGTGTAACAGATTTAATATACACCTGTGTTATGCATTAAATCCTCACAATCTATAGGAGCTCATTCATAAAGCAGACTATTATTGAGCAGATGCAGTAAACAAATGATGTAAAGCTAAGTGAGGAAGCACTGACAACTCTTGTGACTTACTGAGCCATTTAAAATGAGCAATGAGCCAAAGCAGGAGTCCTACAGAGAAAGAATCAATAATGAATACATTATCATGCATATTTCCCTAAGACAAGGGTAATAATCATGTGGCATTCATTTCTGTTACTAAATAATTTTAAGGAGCCTCTCCCTTCCCCTCCCCTCCCTTCTCCATGGACTCTAACATACCTATTTCTGGTACAAAATAGAGATCTCAACTGCTGTTAACACCGTAACTTTGTTAGACTCACTGCCAGGCCATTTTTCAGAATCCATTGGCTCATTTAAATCTTCAGAGGGAAAATGGCAATTGAGCATGAGTTTTACATTAAAGCAATACAGCACTGGCTAAAAGCAATGTGGCTTTCCACCATTTCATCAACTGTGCTGTAGCCTGAAAACTTACAAAGAATAAATAAGTAAATTTCTTGTCTTGTCTCCCACCTTACTTTCCAATGCCATTTCAAACACTAACCTTATTTTTGCTATATTATTAAAGGATTATTTTCATATACTTTTAAATTACCTTGTTTAAAAAAATAACAGGTGAAAAACCCTACTATCTACCTAGGTTTCTTATTACTCTCTGTTGTCTTTCTCTAGTATTTTATTAATATATTATTATTCAGTAGGAAAATTACATACATTCAGTAAATGGTGGTGTCATAAAATTCAACTACATTTGCCAGGGGGGAAAAAGTTAAAATAGAAAGAAAACAGTCGTGCAGTTTATTCTGACCATCTTGTACTCACGAGGGTTATCATCTGGATTGAAATGAAAAACGTAACTCGGCTATTCTCTCAACCAGGTAAATTTCCTCATACTTTCCTTAGATTGAGAATCAAATCCAGGCAGGAGTACATATGTATAAGTATATTAAGACTAGCAGAATGTTGATAATTGCTGAAGTTGGATTATGGCTACATCGGGCTTTATTGTATTGTTGTCTGCATTATAATATATGCTTGAAATTTTCTGTGATACAAGCTAAAACTTGTAATAAAAATGCAAGTACACTCCATGGTCCTTCAAAGAACAAATTATTATTCCAAAAACATATGGGAAAAACAAAGTATGGTTTCCATTCTACATGCTCTATAAAACAAGTCATCCGTATCATTTACTTGTTCCTTGGAAAAAATATAATTTATTCTACTATTGCAGGAAATAACAGTTGCATTAGTTCATGTGTCGCTTTCGCTAGATTGTAGTCCCCAGTTATCTGGGGGTGGGGGGGTGGGGGTAATTGTTTCAGTCAGTTGAAAGGCCTTAAAAACAGACCTGAAGTTTCCTCAAAAGAGAAAGTCTGTTTGTGTGTTCCTTCAGCCTTCAATGGCCTGTTGTATGGATTTTGGAATTTCGAAGGCATTGCTTAAAATCATGTAAGCCAAGTCCGTAATTTCTAGAATTACAAAAGTGAGAAAGCATTGTAAAGGTTTAGGGATTTTGTAAAATTCTTAAATTTTTGTTCCCAGATTCACACAACCTAGGATGGATTTTAGTGTTTTATTTATTTTTTTTTTTTGAGGTTTACTTATTTATTTTGAGAGAGAGAGAGTGCTGGCAGGGGAGGGGCAGAGAGAGAATCCCAAGCAGGCTCCACACTGCTGATGTGGAGCCGGACATGGGTCTCGAACCCACAAACTGTGATCATGACCTGAGGCAAAATCAAGAGTCAGACACTCACAGACTGAGCCACCCAGATATCCCTAGATTGCATTTTAGATGGAATTAGGCCAAAGAGTTTGCATGTGGGCCAAAATAAAGCATTTTAAACCATTCAAAGTATACATGGTTTTATATATACAACTTCCATAGTGTAAATGTATGCCGAAATTTGAGAATTATGAGCTACAAAAGGAGAATTAAAGAAAAAAATGTCTATCAACAGAGGTTTGAATTTTCAAACCATGTTATCTTTAAGACTCTTTTATGAAATCCCCAATAGTGAGTAGGTGATACACAGAGAATTACAAACTTGCACACACCACTCTTTTTTTAGTATTGCCTCTGTTACCTTAATATGTATTAATAGAGTTTGATTTTATGAAGAGTAAGCACAGATGTATCTTACTGGAGCAAAAAGAGATAATTTCTAATATTACCAAAAAAATTAAAAAAAATATTTAGGACTTGATCTCACAATATCTCCTGATTTTGCTGATGATAAGAAATGAGATAAGACCTCACTTTACTTTGGGGCTTTAATTTCTGAAGATGGAACCATCACATTGCACTCCTCACTGCCCTGCTTCAAAGAGAAACTTCAGGGGCACCTGGTTGGCTCAGTTGGTTAAGCATCTGACTTCGGCTCAGGTCATGATGTTACAGTTTGTGAGTTTGATCCCCACTTTGGGCTTGGTGCTGACATCTCGGAGCCTGGAGCCTTGCAGCCTGCTTCAGATTCTGTGTCTCCTTCTTTTTCTGCTCCTCTCCTCCCCGTCTCATAAATAAACGTTAAAAAATTAAAAAAAAAAAAAAAAAGAGAAACTTCACACATCCATCTAGATCTCTCTTCAGCATTGATAGGCATTAAATTAAAACTTAAGAGAATAAACTCCTTTAATCACATACGGCCAAAATTTCTTCTACTAACTTGGCACCTGGTTATTGTAAACTCAGGACATAAATGTCATTATTTCCTGTTGTCCATTGATTTTATTCATTCTAGGCAATTTTCCATCCTTTACTCTTGGGACTGACTTCTCAACTTGCCTCCAGATTCCGGACAAGATGAGGATAAGTCGCATTACCTTTTACACCTCATTAGCTTTAACAAATAAGTAGCTGGCACTTACACAAACAGTATCTTACCTGCTGTTTTGTTCCTCACTATATTGCTTTCCTGCTGCTTTTACAGGTGGCATTTAGGCATGCTGTTCTGAGATATATCATCTCACAGACTAGCAGACACATATCAGAGGACAAAAGTTAACTAGGAAAAAAATTACAATTAAAATATCATAAGTTCATTAATATAGCACAAAATGGAAAATAACTATATAATTAAGACCATCAACAACTGCCAAAATCATTGGAAATAAATCATTACTATCTTCCATTTACCCACATTATTGTTTTACTTTTAAACATTTTAACATGAAAGTAAGTTTATTTTTAATGCCAAGAAGTTCTCTTTCTTTTTTTTTTTTTTTTGTCTTTATAAGGGTAGAGTATGCTATCATTGGTACTAAAATGGACAATACTTTCTCCACCTTCATATATCTTTTTGATGTAGCTGTTTGGACCTCTGCCACCGCTTAGTGTTAATCTATAATTGTTATCAGTAACTGAAAACAAATTCTAATGTGCCTCCTTTTAGGATTATAGTGAAGTGTGAAAGCAGGCATTTAATTTGAAAAAAAAAAAGATGAATTCAGATGCAAAGTTAAATGTAGATCCGCCCTTTCTGAAACAAACAATAAAATACATAATCCTTTTTTGATTAACTTATTCGTTAATTAAAAAAATAACTTTTTCAGTAAGTAAATAATTATTCCTCCCATGTGCCAGGCTATGGGGTTATAATACCTTATAAGGCAAGTAGGACCCATTCCACGCGGAAGTCACTCCTTGAAATAGTGGGTTGAAGCTGTGAAAGTGGGATTTGTGAAGTTAGAGAAGGAAGTAGTGAAACAAGCTGTGATATAGGCCCCACAGATTTTATCCTCCTGGTTTTGCTAGTGAGAGAACCATCATTATCACAGTTAGCTGCAGGATTGGGTTTAGGTCTCACTATGGCTAGCAATCTGGCACAGAAATAGACAAGAGTCTGGGGGCGCCTGGGTGGCTCAGTTGGTTAAGCGTCCGACTTCAGCTCAGGTCATGATCTCACGGTCCGTGAGTTCGAGCCCCGCGTCGGGCTCTGGGCTGATGGCCCAGAGCCCAGAGCCTGGAGCCTGCTTCCTATTCTGTGTCTCCCTCTCTCTCTGCCCCTCCCCCGTTCATGCTCTGTCTCTCTCTGTCTCAAAAATAAATAAAAAAGTTAAAAAAATTAAAAAAAAAAAAAGAAATAGACAAGAGTCTGAATAGAGTCCTGAAAATGAAGTCTGAATGAAGTTTTCCAATGAACATTCCTTTTCACTCTCCCCACTACCCTTCTCTCTCTCCCTCTCTCTCTTCTAAACCCATTCTTCTTGATTCCCTGTCTTTAGCACATACAGAGAATTTTCTGGGGAAATATTGCATGACCAGCTGTATCTTACCGCTGCCAGGGTGTCTCTGGACAGAATCATGGAACCCAAGTTAATTTAACTTAGGTGCCCCAATGTGTGAAATTGTCGTGTATTGTTTGCTGTTGTGAGACATTTAGATTATATGCCTTGCATTCT